TTACCCACAATGCAACTGGATTGCTGACAGTGCAGTCAGAGTTTCGGGTGAGTTACGCTGAGCGGACTACAGACCCTTCTAACTCCACACCGACAGATTATGTTTACAAACTTCAGTCTTCAAATCCAAAAGCAATTCATCAGACAATATGGTTTACACACATAAGCAGTAACCCTCCACAAGAGTTCCACCTTAAATGCAGGATTAACAACCTTTCTGCCGTATCTTTCTTTGTCCCGAGCAACAATAAAAGAGTCAGAAATACAGTCACCATATTTACAAAGGCAACATATCCACATGTTGTAATAAGCTAACAGTTTGGATGTGGCGTGAGGAGACAACAGCCTACAGGGACCCACGCTCTCCTCTTGCCAAGTAGAATCAAGTTCAGCCTGGACTCTTTGTGACAATGTCAAGAACGATCCTGCTTCCTGCGAGTTAATCTTTATTCCAGTTCACTAACACTTGTTGACCTTCGAGGGTTAAACTATTTGGACGTGTTGCACCAATTACAGGGTCAGACAGATTTTGTTTTTCCTCCTAGTATAGCGAAAGCGATCCAGAGGAAATGAGCTGTCAGAGGATTGTGTCATCCTCTGAAAGCTCATCCTCGTGACTCTTTAATTCTAGCACAAACATGAGGCAGGGGCAAGGGATTCTCTCATTTGAATTACTCTCACATTTGGATTTTATGTCGGTTTCTTAGGTCATAAGGCATTTTTATTGGTCTGTTTTTGGATCATCTTTCACTCCGTATGTTCTGCTCTTGATGTTTATATCATCATGAACTGAATATATCTGAGTTTTGAACTGTTGGATTGGACAAAATAAGACTTTTCAAGACGTCACCTCAGTGTGCCAGCAAATTCTAAATGGCAATTTTTGACAATTTTTGGGACCATTTTATAGACTAAACAATCACAAATGATCGTTAAGGTCTAGATTAATCGCAGATCAATTGATATGAAAACACTCATTAGTTGGCAGCTCACAACTGCTGTCAACACTATTAAACTACAATTTTACAATTTGAATGTAGCTAAACTGTAAAATTATATTGTAAATTGCTTTATGATTTAGTTCAATATATAAAGCTTCCAAAAATAAATGTTGGTCGAGGTCCCAACAGATTAGTTGTATAA